ATTCAAATTCATACAATAATTCTAGTGTTCGAATTATTGCACATCATCTACTCAAAAAGGAGAGTTACCATTGTGTGAGCTTCAATTGTATATCCCTCTCAAATAGGAGAGATTTTAGTTCCGAGAGTTATTTCATTCAAACTTGTAAAAGGGGTTGGTTAACCCTGTGAGGTGAGAAGGGTGTCTTCCACCTTGTGTGTTAGAGCGATGTACTCTAGCAATGTAAAGGTTTCAACTCCACCTGCAAAGAGTTTTTCCAACATAGTGGATCGAACTCTCAAGTGGTGTGCTTAAGGACTAGATATAGGTCAAGTGGACTAAACTAGTATAAATCTCTAAGTTTGAATCTCTCTTTCCCTATCTCTTTATTATTGTGCTTGTCAATTTAGTTATCCACATTTAACTTTAATTTGCAATTAACCTTATTCACCCCATCCCTCTAAGGTTGATTCCCTGGGCAACACATAATATCTCGGACATTTAGCATGCTGCCAATCTTTTTACAATCTCCACTGATAAAAGGCTTAACCCTGGCAGATGACCAAGGAGCCACTCCTACTTGAGTCTCCCCAGTAGACGATACCACTTTTGAAGAAGACTTGATCACAACAGAAAGAAGTTTCGGCTTCTTCTTTAGTAGAGACACAGCTCTTGCCATCAAAGTTGCAGCTTCATCTTTAGAGGACTTGGCGTCGGCCTTCCTCTTTAAGGGGGATTCGGTCGAGGACTCCTCCTGTTTGGCAGGCAGATCATCCAAGTTTGGGCCATATTGCTTCCATCTCTCAACATCCTTGGCAGGGGGCATACCATCAACTTTCTCCCAATACTCACAAGGATGTTCAAGGCCCAGCGAACCTTAGCCATGTTCGGCCCAAGAAGTCAGTTAGTCACACATCAAAGAATTCATATAAAATGGAAGCAAATGAGTAGAAGTATGACGTACCATTGCAGTAAGTGAGAGGAACAAACAAACCATTGCTGACCTTGCCTTTCCACTGTCCGCTAGCCTCTAACACATCGGCATGCCATACGTGATCTCCTTGGCTGAGACTGTCAAACAGCTTGGCTTTGCATACACGGATCTAGGCATACTTCTCGTAGCGCCTCACTTCGAAGAAGTAGAAGAACTCTCACACCGTCAAATCCAGCTTGAAGAAATGTCTCATATTCTCAAAACACATTATCACCCAGTAGACGTTCAGAGTACATTGGCTTGGGGCACACTCCATGGCTCAGAACACTTTCTTGAAGAACTTCGACAATGGGAACGTGAAGCCCAAGGAGAAATAGAATGGGCGGAATGTGATAATTCTAGCATTTGGATCATTCATATCCGCACAAGACGCATCGTCAATCGAAGACTCCGCTAGCTTAACATGCACGTCATCAGGTATGGCAAAAGTATAGGTGGTACGCCACTTCTAGAAGAGAGCTTCATACATAACGCGATATAGATTAGCCACGAATCTCTTCTTGTGCACCTTGGACCAACCTCACAGATACAAAGGCACTTGAGAACTTGGTGACCAGCTACCATCATCAGAAGACATGATCAATGGATAGCTGTGAAAATTGCAAGGCAAATAGCATGTCAAAACCCTAAGTTGCGATACCCAAAAAAAATATAGGTAACAAAGAGGCCACGCGGCTCAAATCGTGGATACAGCACCTCGACTCTACTCGACCCTCAACCTGCCCAATAGGTCACAGTACAGCTTTAGCAACAAAACAAAAAAAGGACAGCCGCAGCAATGGCCACCACTTGGCGACTGCCACCAGCGTTTGTGACACAGCTCATGAGACTGCCCAGCTGCCGAACCGCAGCAAAATCCACAATCTAGCTGCCAAGCTCGGGTTAAAGAAAAGCAGTCGCCATAGCCAATGACGACACCAGCCCCGATCGCGTCACCACCGGCCCGCTGATCTCGTCGCTCCAACCATCGCCTCATAGCAACGACCAACTGGGCCCACCTTGTCGCTGGTCCTTGCTGCGCCACAATCACCACCAGCAACGTCAATCAAGATGACAACCATCCGGGCCTACCCAGCTAGTCATCGCCGCGAAGAAAAAATAAACTCGACCTACCTTGTTGTGCATGATGACTCCTCTCCACGACAAGTAGTGTACTCCTTCAAGATCTCTCACACAAGCTACAAAGTAAAGGAAACAAGTTTGCAATTTGAAGAGGAACGAAGAGAAGCCTTGTATTTATAAAGGTTGGGCATCTTAGGTCAATGAGGAATCACAAGCCTATTCCCATTGGGAGCCCAACTCCAAGAAGAAGTCAAAAGCCTACTCCAATTAGGAGCCCAACTCAAAGAAGAAAGCCAGATACAATTGGAAAGCCCAATAAATATTTCTCATCTCCTCCATACCTCACAAGCGCCATGTGAAAGCTGGGAGGAGCATTTGTGGGAACATATATTTCACCGGCCAATAAGAAAACGACATGTGGAAAAGGAATATTCCTTTGGTCAAACTAATTACCGTAATTAATTCCAATTTAATTAGGGAAATTATCTTTGATTTAAGATATGAATATATATCCCTAAATCAAGGAACCAATCTCCACCAAATCTCTTAGAGTAATTCCCATCATCTTTTTGGGGAAGAATAATCCTAACCAAATAATGATTATTCTCCCAAAACCCTAGCACAAAAGAAGGTTATAAATACATAACCACATAACACATTCAAGGTAATTCTGAATCCTAAACCTAACCCCCTCCTCCACTCTCTTTTTCACATGGCTAAGCGCCACCACACACTGCTAAGGCCACCCGACTCTCCTCGTGAGAGAAAACTCCATCCATTTTAACTATTGTCGTTTCTTTATAAAGATCCAATTGAACTAACTTAGGCATCGAAGGACCTTTGGCCACCCTCTATGCGTGGTTTATTTACTCCTATTTATTTCACAGGGATCGAGAAAGAGAGAAGGAAGATCGACGGCCAAGGAATCAACCAGCGAATATTCTCCATGCGGAATTTTGCGCAAACAATTTGGGATCAAGAAGTTCCTCACCGGTTGAAATCTTCTGTTGAGGATGAAATGATGAAATGGATGTACCCCTTGATTTCTTTTAATGAAGTTTTTATTTTGCTAAAAAAAAAGTTCCTTAAATTCATTTAGGGTATGTTTGGATAAGAGAGGTTTAGGGTGTGGATTTGGGTCCCTAAATCCAAATCTAGTTGTTTGGGTCTACATTAACAAACTGTATTTGGATTTCAGCCAAATCCGTATGGAGTTTTATAAGCCCAAATATAAGGATTTCAAGTACCTTTTTAAACTAGTTATTTGACAACTTCATGGTTGAATTAAAATAACCCTAAGATTTTTTTTTTCTAGTATCCAAATCGTCTATTTTTCAGTCTTCATTCATAAGTCATCCTTGCAAAAAAAAAATCAAGCAAATCGAAAATCATTAAGGCATCTAGTTGGGACCAAGAAAATAGACAAACACAGTGCTTTGAGAAAAGACTATAATAACAACCATATAATTAAGTAGTCATATGATTTTAGATTCTAGTGATTTTTTGCAGAGATTATATTTGAAAGAATATCTTAAAAAGTAGATGGTTCAAATTATTGAAATACATTGTGTAGTGGGCCCTACAAGAATGTCCCTAAAATAAGATTACTGGATGAATCCATGGACTATAAGGTACATATATGGGGTGGATTTGTGGCACCAAAAAATTTACACAAATTTTCAACCATTAGATTATATTAAAATGAATGGCTAGAATTTTTTTTTTTTTTAAGGTGAATGGCTAGAATTAAACAAAATAACTTTTTTCGATTTTAAACAATTATTGATTGAAATGAATTTTAATTAATTTACCACTCTATTTTCTCTCTCTCTCTTTATTTATTATGTATTCACATCTTCCTATAAAAATAAAAATTAAATTAAATGCGTGACAAATGCGTGCAACTCACGTAGACCGTACATGCGCACATAGAATAATAGTGTGTATACATGTGTATGTGGACTGCGAGAGAAGCAGGTGGCACTAGGGGTGGGCACGGTCCGGATTGGATCGATTTCAAGTCCAAACCACGGCCGAACTAATTAAAATATAACGGTTTGGTTTGGTTCGGTTTGGATAAAAGTTATAAGGAAAACCGAACCAATCCAAACCAATTTAAGACGGTTTGGTTTGGCCAGTTTGGCCCTAAGCCCAATTCTCTTTCTTTTTGCATTTTTTCAACATTATTAGCTCAATTATAACCAACAAATTCACAACTTCCTTCTTACATAAATCATTTTCTAGAGTACGAAACCAACCTAAAGCTCAAAAGGTCATAAAACTTCATATTTCACTAACTAATATAGCTCAATTCAAATATTCATATATAGTTATTAACTAATTAGAGTATTACACATATCAAATATAAATATAAATAAATAAATATACACATAAACGGTCCGGTTTGGTTTAAGCCGGTTTACAAAAGCTCAAAACCAAACCAAACCAAACCATATACGGTCCGGTTTGGTTTTCAAACAGTTTGACTTTTTCTTGGTCAAAACCAAACCAAACCGGTAATTACGATTTGGTTCGGCCGGTTTAATCGGTTCGGCTGGATTGATGCCCACCCCTAGGTGGCACGGCTTCTGTTTTTGTTTGTATGAAAATGAAAGCGATAAACCAAAGTGTATATGGACGTCTCTGTAGCACTAGAACTTACTGTTTGCTACTACTAGGCGCGGTTTTTTCTTCTTCTTTTTTAATACAAGATACAAATGTGAGGAAGATTTTTCACACACTAACCACTAATCTACAAATCATGGTCATTTTTCACTGAACGGGTTTTTTTTCATGTAGTGACATTCCGGTAAATTCAGAGGCGACTTTGCTGTGAATTTTCATGTAGTGACATTCCGGTAAATTCAGAGGCGACTTTGCTGTGAAGGAATCCACGGCTACAAATTACAATGTTCATGATTGAATTAAATCAATGATATTTCTCTTGAAATTGTTGATAGATTCCTGACCAGAAACACCATGGTGGAAAAAATAAACTCACACGTAAATGTCATACGTACACGGGGATTGCTACAAGAATAATGACTCTTTTTAAAAAAAATTCTATTGAAGACACCTTCACCTAGAGCACGAGCACATAAAAAGAAAAGGAAGTTACAAGTTCCTTGTACTCATGTACATCAAAACTCAATCAATGCGCGGTCAAGGATGTATTGTGCGTGGGTTTTTCATTTTTCTGGCCTGAAAGGAAAAACAAAGTATACATGTATTGCATGGTGCCGCAAAAGAAGCTCTCCCTAAAACCATACAGCTTCACTCACAACTCAGCTATGGTGGTCGCCATTGGCAAAACACATCGGTGTTTTATGCTTAGACACAAGGAGTGACTTCATGTTGGTGGTTGCCATATCCCTGGCCTGAATGTTTGACCAGATCCTATTGGCTCTATAGACCTGGAAAAAAAAGTTCGATAATATAGAATCATCAATACAGCAGACATTTTTCAAGGAAGAACTAGGAAAACCAAATTCATTGTAATTTATCAAGTCACTTTACAACTTGCAAGTTTTGGATCTCTTTGTATGAAGATTTCAGAGCATCTACAATTCCTCTCATTAGTATATTGTTTATGATTTGATTGTTTATGATTTCAATGTGTAAGTAGTGATGGTTGCACAAACAGACAGATGAAGAATACCGAACATACTCCGGATCTTGTTTTGCTTTTTTAGCTTCTTTCTCTTTCGAGTTCCTGCCATATTAACAAACACAAGAATATAAGCATGAAGACATGAGCATTCACACCCACCCAACATAAAGAAACATGAAATATTGGTGAAACTGGTCAAGTATATATATGAAAAATAAAATGCTTGTACTCTTATTAAAAAGTAAATACAAAGCAACTACATGAATAGTGCATAAATCTTAGCAGACCTACCTCACTCCTTCCATCGCAACAGATTCTTCATGATTTTCATCACCTTTGTGATCAAACAAGGAAGACAAACATCAAAAACCAAATTAATTTAGCATAATCTACCTAAAAACAACAAATTAATGCGAAAAAAAATGTAATGCTCCATTGAATCAATAGAAAATAAAGATTTTGCAATCTGAAAGATGGCCCTAAAATAAAATTCCTCAATCTAAGAAACCTTTCTGTGGAAAAGTACATTATTCGGCAATAATCTACCATGAAAAACAGTAATTAACCCGACAGTTAGTAATGCAAGATAATTACTGAATGATTATGCAATCTGAAGGATAGACTTCAAATAAAAACCCTCATCCTAACTCCTCATCAACGTTTATGTGAGGGCGGGAGAGGATAAAAGACAAGTTACCTTCAGAAGGAACACGAAATTGCCGAATGAAACTTTTCAAATCTGGACCTCCAACTTTATCTATACACAGTATAATCATGAATAATTGCATGAGTATAATGGTATAGCTGTCATAAAATGTCTGAGTAAGAAGCTGACCAGTGTTGATGACTTTGCGTGTACTGCCTTCTCTTGCTTTCCTTTCCACTTCTTTCTTTAGAACTTTGCAAAATATAAATAAATAAATAAATAAACGTTTTTAAAAGTCTCTGCATTAAACTGAAAAGTGAGGTATAGAGCAATCTAACTTTTAAGTTAGTGACACCAGTTTCCACTAAATCTTAAAAGATACCTTTAGCGGGAAAAAAAGGTTATATAGATAACAGACATGCCATTTTAAGGAGATAAACATGGTGAGGTGGAGATTCCCTTAGAAGAAAAAAAAAATGCATCAACAGGATCCAGTCACTGAATAAAATCAAATTTTGGATCCAATTAATTTATAAAAAAATTATGTCCAATACCGTTGTGAATCACTTTGCAGGGTGATTGAGGTTACCTGTTCAAAGATATGAAAAACAGTCCATTTAGAGTAATCTCTTTATTAAGAATAAAACAAAACAGTTATCACACATAACACATGAAAGTAAGATAACTTCTGTTTTTGGGGCTTTTGGCAGCATTCAGGTATTTACCACTAAGAAGCATATTTTAAGGCAGTTGGGATAGTTATGTGCTACTGATGAAGAGTAATCTTGTACTACTAGCCACTATCTTTGGATTTCCGAATGCCTCTCTCTCTCATTCTCTATATCTCTTTCCTTATCTTGGGATATTATAACAAACGCATACCTACCTTAATATCCAATTAATGCATGCCTTCATTCACTTAGCTAAAATTTTAAATGATGCTCCTATAAGTCACAAGTTGAAAATAGGTTTTGTAATAAAGATTTCTTTTAGTAAACCTACAACTCAATGGTTCAAAAAGAGCCAGAAAACCAGAAAAAATTGTTAACTAATGCTAGAACTGACACATACGAGCAACATTCTGCTGGGCAAGTTCACGTCATGCTTCCAAATCCATCAGTTCCTGGGGGCATAGGAAAACAAAATGTCAGACGGTAGAAATGAACTGACAATCCAAAATGTCTTGTAAGCAAAAATCAAATATCAATATGAGAATATCGGAAGATTAGTCAATGGTGATTTTATAATAGGCGACGGCAGATAATAATCCACCTTCCTTACCAAAATATTTTGAACATATTTTTCTTCCTTTTTCAAATTAAGCGCGAGGGAGAAGGGAAATTAATACACCAAGGAATTAAAGAGAAGCAAATGTTTAGATTACCTCTGGTGTTGGAGCCCTTTTCCGCTGCCCATTGAGCCAACATATCCACTCAACTAATATGATCAAAGGGTGAACACAAAGGGAGTAGAAAAAAACAATGACACCATAGAAACAATGCATGCAAAGTTTTCCACATTGCAGTGTAAGTATTTCTAAGATACCAAAAATATGTAAGGATAGGTAGCTGTGCATATTTCAACAGCTCAAAACAGAGTACCATTTTTGCTAATCTGACAAAAGTTAAAACAATGAAAATATTTCTGTAGCAAGTGAACTAAGGATGTGAAACTGAACAAAAGCTGTACTAGCTCAAAGGAATTACCTGGAATAGAGGTTGGGTCCTTCTCCCCCTTGAATACCACCCATCTTTTCTCTTTCACTAATGCGTCAAAGAGAATGGGAGAAAAAGAAATAAGAAAATGACATAAAAGGAGTATTAGCTGTACTTTTATTGAAGTGACTTGACCACATAATATTAAATCCCACACAAGTTACAAATACAGCTTCATGTTCTTCATGCTATATCCCATGAACTCCATCATCCACAACTCAATACAAAAGTTTAGTATTTGTTTTTCAAAGAGAAGAAATACTCAGCTCAACTAATCAGAGCATCTGTATTACGAAAATATGAGCGGTAAACATTAGATATTAGCTTTTTTGGTTTCCTTATAAAAAATTAATCAGAATTCAGAATATATTGTAATTGTGTTGCAGTATCTATCTCAGAGTGAAAAGGTCTCTTCCAGCAATAAAATCATACAAGAAGAAAAAATTACTATTTTTTAAGTGAAAATTGCAAAGCTCCAACCCCAAATGGTTACACTGCTCTATTCTTCAAGATAACTTTGGCATATGGTGGGAAAGAGGTAGTGGCTGGCTGCTATTCAATCATTCTATGATCCAGGCAAGATACCAGGAAGGTGAATGCCACTTCTATAGCCTTAGTTCCTAAAGTGAAGAATCCTTCTCAGATGAGCCAATTAAGACCCATTTCTTGCTACAACCTCATTTATAAAAGTATCCCTCAGATGCTGACCAACCGAATCAAGAAATGTCCACCAGACTTTATCAGTAAGAATCAAGCAGCTTTTGTTCAAGGGAGGAAAATCTTGGAGAACATACTTCTAGCTCAGGAACTAGTGAAGTGTACCCAGAAGTTATAAAGAGAAGAACTGAGTGACAAATGGAAGCTTTTCTACTGGAAGGTCAAGCTACTGATATGGAGGACCAACAGTTTCTTGGAGATTTGTGTGTAACCCCAAAACAGAAGGTGGGTTAAGATTTAGAAATTCGAAGACCAGAATAAGGCCTCGATTTTAAGATTTAGAAGATTTCATAAGTTTCATATAAAAATGGAAGAAAAACTTATCTATAGCTTGACTAGCATCATGAGGGGACTTTATTGGATTCAGTTAGTACAGTGACTTATGTATGATGAAGCTAGCTCTATAAATGCTAAAGTTAGTTCAGTGATTCAGCAAGATAACTCCTCCTGGTGTCCGGCCAATCATTCAGCCCAATCAACCTGGCTATCTTCTAATTCAGTCCAATCATTCCACTGAAGACCATGTTTCTGCTTCCCAAAGCATTCATTTGTTACATGGTTAGCAATTTAAGACATTTTATCTACTGAAAAGAGAGTGATTTTCTAGTGCTATGCAGATGGTTAAAAATGTGTATATTTATGTCATCGGTTTTTTTAGAGCAAATGCCACCTCTTTTGCAGTTGCAGCAGCTTCACCAAAAGGACTCAGATAAACTTGTTGAATGAGTTAAACAGGCCAATGACTAGTTTTTCTGGTTATTAAATTGACACCGAATGGAATCCAACACTGTTGGAAGAAACAATCAACTATGTAAGGGTCCTACTCACACTGAACTGCAGATTGTGCAAAAGATCATAGAAGATTTTTGTTTTAAAGTTGCTGGGTTTAGAAATGTTAAAGGTTCTTCTGCTACTATACGTTTGTGTGAGTATGCAGTTCCCAAGGACATTTTCTGTCAGTACTTGTAAGGGCCTAGTTCCTCTTTTGATTTGTTTTCTGTGATGTAGTATGTGCAGCTTTAATTCTGTTTGTATCGTGTTTATCAGTATGAAAAATTCTTAATAAGAGAAGACACATTTAATTATACTCGCATACATTTTCTCGTCCAAAGACAACATAAAATTATAAGAACAACGCAATTACCAAGTTAGCTAATGCAATCATAAATCACAAAAGAGTTCATTCATGCCTCAAGAAATTAATGCAATTCCTTAAAACCCCATGCACGGTCATGACAACCCAATTGGCCCAAGTTAGCTAATGCAATCATAAATCACAAAAGAGTTCATTCATGCCTCAAGAAATTAATGCAATTCCTTAAAACCCCATGAAGCAAAATTTGAAATACAATGCACGGTCATGACAACCCAATTGGCCAATTCAACAGATGGAACACAACAGAGTCCATAATGATAAAAACAAGGATTCAACACAATCTGAACAAGACCCATGATTCAAAATTGCAGCACAAAGATTAGCAACCAATACAAAAACACATAGAGAAAGAGAGGAAAGAGAGACACTTACTGATGCCATCAACCTCATCTTTTTTGGCGAAGTAACGGTTGCCAGCTTTGTCCATTCCCACCATAGTCCTGTTGGTGAAGAACCCAGCAACCCTCTGAAAAAGCTTCGACATTTCTCTTCCCCAAATCCAATGAAATCTCAAATGGGCTTCACTTCGCTATCAGTATATTGCCATCACCGGCATCTTCTTTGATGTCCCTAATGTTTAGCTGTGTTGTACGACAGTCGTTTGCAGTTTGCAGGGTTATAGAAGAAACAAGTTATGGGTTTTAGTTTGAATCTACGACAGCATTGTCCTCGGCTCCGTTTAACTTAATCTCTCTGAACCCACGCGCCTCCTCGCTGGTCCAAATAATACCAGTTAAGCCACCCCGTCGTGGTCGTTGTTGGGGTTTGCGGTGCAACTTGTACGGTTCAACCCGATTTTTGAAATATATGGCCGGGTTAGAAGGGTTCAAGTTGGGTTTGGGTCAAATAACCTCTGAGCCGAATCAAAATTGGGCTGACGTCAACTCAAACCCGACCCAAGTTGATAAACCGAACCCGAATCAACATTGTTCATTTTCCACTTTGTTTACATATATAGCGACAATTGAGCATGTATTGTAGTTTAGTTGAGCTTGCAATCAGGCCTTAGATCTTTTAGAAAGAACAAGTGCAAAATAATGAACGCAAAGAATTCTCATTGTGCTAATAACCATTAGGTCATTTCTCAATTTTAGATTTACTTATTCTGTCACCCAATCCTCTAGATCTTAATCTATAACAATTATTTGAATTCTAATTGATAGAGAAAGCTGAACGTGTGTTAAGATTTCGATGAAAGGTGTTCGTGTAATTTTCGCATAACCACTATATCAATGGAATTTTGATACTTTTGTTATTTTCACAACATTAAAAATAAATTTTTTATAGTCAGGAGAGATCAAAATGCTTTTGATTTACTTAACATAAATTTGGTTATATCGTTATTAAGCATGCATATAAAAGTATGATAATTAAAAGTGTAATACCACACACCAAGATTTTTTCCAACTCTTTTTCAAATTCTCTCCCATTGAGGGAACATGATACTATAAAATTTTGTATGATTCATATAAGGTTCACTCCATGGGAGAGAATTTGAAAAAATCTTGGTGTGTATGAAATTACTCATTATGTGAAAGAATTGAGATACGAGTTGGGATAACTCTTTGTAGCATGTTTACTTATATGAAATGAGTATTTGAATTACTCTCATTTTGGACTTTCCCCTTACATCTACTAATATTTAAATTCTTATTCTTAATTTCCCTTTTATTTACAAACACATAATAAGAATTAGAAAAAAAAAAAATTGTATGAATTAGAAAGTAGTCAGGACCAAAATGAAATGTTCGTCAAATTAAAATGACTACTGGTGTGTTGGCTTCCCCTTCTCCGTCAATAATCTTGGGAACCGAACAGTGTTATACGTGTTCGTACGGAGTCTACTCGTATTGGCATTTAGGCTTTGCCGGAGAATTCAAAACTTATGCTCAGCTCTACAGTCTATCTCCAGATAAGCTCAATCAAATTAACTCCCGATTTGTGGGAGCAGATTTCCACCAACAAAATGGGTTCTTAGAGACTCAATTACCCAAAGAAATTTTCAATTTTGATGCTTTCATAAAGCTTCAATTGTCCATTAACCAAGTAGGTATTTTGCAGAGACTTGAATTTGCTCAATCTCTGCAAAACCCAACAAAAGCCAATGACTTTGTCCAATTCAATCATGTGGGTCTCTGCAAAACCTCCATTTTCTAGCTCATTTCTCCAAAACCCTAAACCCCTTTTGCCCCAAATCTCACGCCCAAGTCTCCATTCTCAATCTTCACTGACCCCAACAATCCACTGTGGTCTGCGTGAGCTCCGAGTGCGAATTGATTCCATAAAGAGTACCCAGAAAATCACCGAAGCCATGAAGCTCGTCGCCGCTGCCAGAGTTCGAAGAGCCCAAGAAGCAGTCATCAATGGCCGACCCTTTGCCGAGACCCTCGCGGAGGTCCTTTACGACATCAATGAGAGGCTTCAAGGTGAAGCCATAGATGTGCCCCTGACAAATGTTAGACCCGTCAAAAAAGTTGCTCTTGTGGTCATCACCAGCGACCGCGGTCTCTGTGGTGGTTTCAACAACTTACTGATAAAAAAGACCCAGACCCGGATCGCCGAATTGAAGAAACTTGGATTGGATGTCACTGTGATCAGTGTTGGCAAAAAGGGTAACTCCTATTTTTTGCGTAGGCCTGAAATTAGCGTTGATAGGTTTATAGAAGGTGGCCTATTTGCAACAACAAAAGAGGCTCAGGCCATTGCGGATGATGTTTTTTCACTTTTTATTAGCGAGGAGGTTGATAAAGTTGAACTTGTGTACTCTAAATTTATGTCATTGGTGAAATCCGAACCGGTTATTCAAACCCTGCTTCCGTTGTCACCGAGGGGCGAGGTTGTTGATGTGAATGGGAATTGCGTTGATGCAATGGAGGATGAGTTCTTTAGGCTGACAACGAAGGGAGGCAAACTGAGTGTGGAGAGGGATAGTGTGAAGAAAAAGAGGGAAGGGCTTTCACCGCTTATGGAATTTGAACAAGACCCTGTTCAGATTATTGATGCCATGATGCCTCTCTACTTGAACAGTCAGATTTTGAGGGCGTTGCAGGAATCAACAGCCAGTGAGCTCGCAGCGAGAATGAATGCCATGAGTAATGCGACCGACAATGCAGATGACTTGAAGAAGACTCTTTCGAATTCTTACAATCGGAAACGTCAGGCAAAGATTACAGGGGAGATATTGGAGATTGTTGCTGGAGCTGAGGCACTAAAAGATTTTGAGTAATCTCGCGATCTTCCTCTTCTTGTAGTTCGTTCATTTTTGTGCCATATTGTTCATGGTGGAAGTTTTGTGACTTATTCGTAGTCAATAAGTTAGTGCAAAGCATCATTAGCTAGAGAGTTTCTTAATTGTAATGATAGTCTGAGCTCTCATATTGAGAACCATATTATGAAATGGGAAGAAAAAAATATCATTCTTGTTCATTAATTAGCAGTGTGGAGATGCCGATGATATCAACTAGCAGAATTACAAAATCATCTACTCTTGAAATGTTGCATTAATCATCTACTCTTGAAACTCTGATAGAAATTTAGGAGCTTGATGAAGAAATCAATCAAGCAGTCATAATATGGAAACTAGTCAGTCTCATTTCCTTGAAAAAAAGGAGAAAAAATGGAGGAGAAACTTCTAGGTGCTTAAAAATTCATCACACCGTTGAGTGTTGATAGTGACCGCCATATATGTTGAAGAGAAGAAGGTATCTTTTGGGGGAAATAATATAATTAATATGCAGCTTTCTAGAATATACAGACGTCTCAAATCTCAAGATCTCCTCCTCCCATGGATTAGAATACATTAGTGAGTCATATAAATGCATAAACTTAAGACAAAGTTACTCATCTTTTTCTTGGAGGAATGCAAACTCTTGTTATCTGTTTGTTTTTACTTGTCCTGCTTTGCTGATGGTACAAAAGGCTAAAATTTACAACGGGGGAAAGTTAAAGTTGTTCCTTCCTCAGTCTCACTATTGACAGACAACAGAAGAAAACAGCCTAGAATAATAAGATTTCCACAAGTTTATGGTTACACTTTATGACCCCACTTATGGCCACAGCCCTCTAATGCATTGCATGAGCTTCAGCAACTTGAATCTGCTAAGTTTGCTTTGCTAAGATTCTCCTTTGTTTATTTTTTTTAAAGTAATCTTGGAGGTGGTTGAATTGGGGAAAAGCATTGGAAAATTTTGTTGGCTTGTCGTGCAAATGGCAAAATGATCTGTTTTTTTCTTTGGCATTCAACTCGGTAGCCCAGATACGATGAATGACGGCTTCTCGGTATTGTTTGTGGGTCATATTGCTGTTTATAACAGGACCTTCCAAACTTAGATTTCCCTTTCAATGTACAATTTTGTCTTGGTTCTGATTCTTTCTTCTATTACATATGCATAATGCATGCATCACTCTTGTCTTGTAGTTCCAAAACTTTCCTAGACGGCTCTCTCTCTCTCTCTCTCTCTCTCTCTCTCTCTAAGGTTAAACTTTTTTTGTGTTTATTATATGATTCGCATGCTTTTTTAATCTTTTCCATTTGATGTATACAATTCACTTTTCTCTTTCAATCTTTCATGTTTATTTTCTTATTTTTGGTCTCTGTTTCCTGATAGTAACTAAATTGTGCGCAGTAAAGTCAAGGTTGGGCTACCATTTCTGCCGCTTGTTCTTTAATATTATCCTTTTTTTTCTTTTGCTGAGGACTTTTTCTTTCGTTTTTTTTATGCGAAGCAGAGAATTACAAAGCAAAGCCTCTAGGGAAAGCCTCTCTCTCTCTCTCTCTCTCTCTCTCTCTCTAAGGTTAAACTTTTTTTGTGTTTATTATATGATTCGCATGCTTTTTTAATCTTTTCCATTTGATGTATACAATTCACTTTTCTCTTTCAATCTTTCATGTTTATTTTCTTATTTTTGGTCTCTGTTTCCTGATAGTAACTAAATTGTGCACAGTAAAGTCAAGGTTGGGTTACCATTTCTGCCGCTTGTTCTTTTAATATTATCCTTTTTTTTCTTTTGCTAAGGACTTTTTCTTTCGTTTTTTTTTATGCGAAGCAGAGAATTACAAAGCAAAGCCTCTGGGGAAAGCCAGCCCAAAGAGATCAAAATAAAAAAGAGAAACAACGGATAAAGGAAGACAGTAGGGATCTTAGCTAAAATATTATTTGTCACAGCCCCATAATTTTTCTGTCTTTGCTTCAGCTGCTTTAGTCACAATTATTGACTCCCCTGCATTGCAGAGCTATATTTTCCGAATTTAACATGTGCATAGCTGCCGCTTTAAGAAAAATGTGAATCAAATCTGAGGAAGAGACAGAAGGCAGAGAAAACTTTAATTGTGCCTTATAATGTTGTTGTATGACACCCCCCACGTTTGCAACAAAACTTTAAAATATAATGATAATAACCTCAAATCCAAGTGGACTTGAAAGGAAAGCATCCACTACTTTGAACTAATCAATTCAGCATCCCTCATTCCCTGTTTTTCATTTGTTGTTTGCACCTTTTTCTTCTTTCTTAAGGGACTCTCTCTCTCTAAACCGGACATAGCATCATCTGAGAAGATCCCTACCCTACTGACCAAATAAATTTACAAAGACACATCCTTTATTTTCTTTTAGGGTTTTTTTTTTTGGGTTTGCTTGGAATTTACAAAGAGAAAGATCTTATTAACTGGTTTTGTTTTACCTTTCTTCTTCAAAGTCAGACTTCTTGGGGACCAAAAGTAAATACATGGGAAACCATCAACTTGGAGATCTACAAAAGGCAGGTCTGTCTTATTCATGTCACTTTTCACTGCCCTTTTGTACCTATGGTAGCTTGGGTTCTCAATAAAATCTACCCCTAGTCGAATTCTTTCAATCATCCTCAGGTAAGACCTTGTATAGAAGAAATAAGATTCTTGTCAGAACCATTGTCTTCCCCCTCTGCTTTTAAGTTCTGGGAAAAGAAAAGAAAACCATCTACTCAAAACTTTCTCTTTAACATAATCTTGCTTTCCCATGTTACAGATACCCCTTTGGAATCTTGGGAAAGTTGTGGTGCCTGGCAGTTCTCAATCAGAGAAAGGTAGATTCTTATTTCCCTCAACTGAGACACCCTTTTAAGGGTGGCAACCCTCTGAAGTAATCTTAAGAATTCTCTCTCTCTCTCTCTCTCTCTCTCCAACTTGTATTCATTTTTGGTATAACAGTTTCTTTGGACTGGAGATGATCCGCATCTAAAATTCTGACCTCTATGAAATGTTTTTGTCATCTTTGGACAGGTAGGCAATCACCAATGGAGAATAGGTATGGTATAACAAGGCAGGGCAGTGGAGTTTGGAGGGCCTTGAGAGATGGAGACTTTGAGGAAGAGGATGTTTGGGAGGTTCTAAAAGATAGGAACAGTTCTAGTAACAAAATGGTTGGTAGATCCAAGGAATCCTCTGTTTCTGTTCCAAGACACCTCCCAACTGCTTCAAGAATGATCCCAAAAGCTAGCAGTCACAATTATGGAAGTGGCAGTAGCTGTAGTAGCAGCAACACCATCACTCATGAAGCCAAAATTGTGCAACAATCAGCACCTGTCAACATTCCTGATTGGTCAGAAGTATATGGTCTGAAATCAAAGAAGGCCCCCAAGAATGTTTCATGGCAGAATGATGATGCTGATGATGAAGAAGAAGTTGGGGATGATGATGGGGACAGTGATGATGATGATGAGGAGGAAGACTATGACTCAAAGGTACCCCCTCATGAATTTATTGCTAGGAGGCTTGCAAAGAGCCAGATTTCTTCTTTTTCTGTTGTTGAAGGTGCTGGAAGGACCCTCAAAGGGAGGGACCTCAGCAAAGTGAGAAATGCTGTTTTAACAAAAACTGGTTTCCTTGAATCATTGTGATCAGGTCTCATCCAATGCAATCAATCATGAAGGTCTTGCTATAATTGTCATGTCATGTATAGGGGTTTCTGTGATGGTTTTTTTTTTTTTTTGGGTCGGTGAATGTCTCGTGTAGTTAATGTTTTAGGGTGTAAGAAATCCAATTTTAGTTTGTAGAATTGCCATGAAATTCATCTTCCCTTTCCTCATGGGTTTTAATTGCACATTTCCATTTTCCATGTACAGGTTTTTACTGTCCTAATATGTGAATATTTATGGCCCAAAGCATAACTAACTGCAGGTACATCAAGGAGCTGCTGCCATTGTTTTTTCTGGGTGAAAACATGAAGTTTCATTCATTTGCCACAAAATCATAAAATCAGTAATGTCAGAACTATAATGATGAGAACTAGGATCATACCATACTGCTACTAACATTATCTTGGAAACTCCTTTTAGAATCTCATTGTCCCCTTATGAAAGTGGCCAGAATTGACTCACAATATACATTCATTTTCTTGGGTTGGCCTGGCCCCATAATGATCTTTACTCAAGCATGGTTAGGTGGGAAGGACATATTATAAAATTCCATGCATTGGCCACACCAAGAATACTTTTATTTTAATACAATCGATATTTGAGAAGGGTGGAATCGAATTTAAAACTTCGGGTGTAGAGGTAAATGCCCTTAATCACTCAAGCCAAAAAAACATTTCTTTTAATCCATAATTGCACAACACCAAAATACATAAAAGATCTACCTCTGCTGTCTAAGCTAGTTGCCTTTATTGGGCCACATCCCACATGGGCAAAAAGGCATTTTGCCCTTTGAATGAACCCAACTATTCTTACTGCATGCCCTGCCACCTAAACGACATGGAAGAAGAAGGACCTCACCGCCACACAGATAAATTTGAGAATTTGAAAAAGACCTGTTACCAACTTCAATGAATTAATTAATCTCTTTCTTTTTCATTTTGCTTTTTGTTTTTTCTTCCTCAAATAAATAAAAATGCTGCAATCTCTTTCAATTCATAGTTCCTCAGCTAGAAAACAAGCTTTCCATGAGCTTTTCTTAATTTTTTTCACTCTCCATTCTTAATTATGCTTTTAACTGTTTAATCAGTTTACCTCTTTTGACCTTTGGGCTATGACCAAGTGTTGTCTCTTTCCTAAATTTAACACCCCCCACCCTTATAAGCATCCCAACTGGTCCCTTCTTAGTTTTTTTCATTCATGGTAATTGCACTTTATTTATTTAAAATATATTGCTTTTCTCCACTCGATACTGAGATGGCAAATTTTGTTTTTAGTAAAACTGTTTTCAGTCCAGGGTATTTTATCAGAAATTTCAAAAACTTGACTGACTTTTCATTGGTGGTCTTGGTATTTTGTAGTTTTTAATTTATAGAGCACAAGGAAAGGATGATCATTGACATTGCTTATTTTAAATAGCAGCAGAACTACAGATATCTAGAAGAGCATATAAATTTGTGTGAAACCGGGAATAGTATTGTTTTGCTATTTTCGGCTAATTACAATATGTCACGCGTGCTAATTTTTCCACTTGACATGTAGTGATTGATTAGGAATAACAAAACAGTATTATTCCCGTTCCACACAAATGTGAGGGACAATAATCCACCTATATTGAAATTAGCCATTTTGGACTACTGAAGCCCAAATGTGATATGCCTTAAAGTTTTGGGATAATAAACAAACAAGTAAATAAATAATTACCAAGAAAAACAAAAACAAACTCATTAGCCAAGGTGGTGATCTAGCTAGTGCGGTACACGCTCACTCAAGACTCAACGACAAAACTTATGCATTATTTTATACAAGTAATAATATAGGTTCAAGTTCAACCACATGGTGGCTCAGTGCTCTTATTACCTTTCAAATCCCTTATCTGTTATTTTTTCGGCCTAAACTTTACAGCATTGATTTGTCGGCATACATTCTAATATAGGAGAATCATAATCCTCTTCTTACTCAATTATTTGCTCGTAGTTTTGCTAAAAATAGTCGTCTATGAAAACACTTTGCCCTCTTTTTCTTTTAAAGAAAAATTTAAAATTATTGGAGTCAAATTACCTCATATTGGCTCCGCCACTCCACGCATACATGCACTACGAATTTACTATAAATTCTACATCAATCAATCAATCAATCGTATACACGTATAATCTCGCATTTTCATATATCGATTTGCAACGTCAAAGGCCCAAGACATGAAGGAAGCTAGAAATTGCCTCAGCCTTTCCTTCATGGAAAAATTCTAGTTCCTTGAGTGCCAAACTTCCGAGCTCCTTCACCACTTCCTTTGTTTCCATCTCATTTCCTTCTTCAACTCTATTTGAAAACGCTCTCATCACTCCCACACACAGACCATATCTTCTCAATCTCTCTATTTCCTCCTCACTTGCACCTCCTAATATGGCCCCACAGGCGGCCCCACATGCATGGAACCCACCTTCCTTTTTTTCACACACGTAGTTGTAGTACCTTGACTGTTTGCACAGCATCAGTATCTCATGGTATTGCCCATCCACCATGCCCTGTGACCCCATGGCACGTGTCATTTCAACGATAACGCGTAAAACCCGGTCCGAATTGTTTTGGGCCGGATCCATTGACTTAGCCAATAACTCATACCCAAATGCAAATATTCCATCTCCAGTGAGAAGCTCTATCCCTGGACTGTAAGCCATGGGCCCGGGTTTGGGCTTGGTCTTGGGCCTATCGGTTGATGGAAGTTGCTCATGCATAACAGCTGCGGCATGCATGAGGTGCAAGGCAGCTGCCGCGGCAATGGCTTGGTCGCGGTGGCCGCCTACGAGCTCACACGCAGCCAGGCACAAGGCCGGCGCAGGGCTGGGCGGGGCAGAAAACACGAAATGGTGCATGGGCTCAAACACTGAGAGTGGAGGCCTGACAAGGATCTGCTGCTTGAGATGGACCTCTATCTCGGCATGCACGGAGGTCCAATAAGGTTGATCTTGCGACATTATGGCCATCGTGGTCCTAGATGGACGGCTAGGATTTGATCTTGGCATTTTATTAGCCAGTGGGTTTGGGTTGCTGCTAATGCAAAGGACAGCTGCCATAGCTAGGAGGAGGCGTGAGGGGCTTATTGAGAGAGGAAGGTGAAGAGGTTAGATACAATTATATAGGAGAGTCTGAGTCTCAGAGGTACAATTATTGCCGTCTGCTTCGTTCATGGTTATCTTTGCTGCCAGTAAGTTGGGTCGTGTGGCCCCCTTTGTCTCCAGAATTACCTGAGCTGCATGTCGTATGCCGACTTACAGTACTGAAAATGAAAAGACAAAACATATAATCAAATGAATATATGGGTTGTTGTGACCAGTCGATCAATACTTTCGGTTTGGAGCTTTACATCACATGCATCGCGTTTTAGTTAATTCAGTTTTGTGATTAATCCTATTTCGTGTGTATCACGTGGTTTCCTATCCATTTCGATTTGCAGTAACTATATTCTTTCTAATGTTTTTCCATGACACAAACCAAACCACGACATGATGTATCATTAAATATAAAATGAAAACAAAAGCCAAGAGATGATTCTTAAATTATGCTTGGTTTGGTTTGATTTAGTTTAGGTCTTAAATCACACGCTGAATTGATGTAATATCACGATTTCCATTACACCGAACTGATATAACATTACTGTTCGAATTGGGGTGAAATGGAATGGATTTTGTAATGCTCCAAATTTCCAAGAGCAAGATGATATACAACTCTTCGATGTATCACATCACATATATACTATTAGCAATCAATAAAGGTGTGTGACTAAAATCCATTATCATGTTGTTGACACGCTAATACTCATTCTTTGTCCTTTTTGTGATATGATAATAGATAATTAACACGCTAATACTCATGAATTTGCTTTTTATTTATATTTTAATTATTGTTATTGCTTAATATTTAAATTCTGGCTAATCAAGCTCAATTTGATTTTGATGAGATCTGATAAATTATCTATCGCAAGTTCAACCCGAGCCCATTTGAACCCAATCAAATCTTAGATAGGGTTTGGGGTGAGTCTTGTTCTTCAAATTATAACCCTAAACAAAAGGTATGTATAAATAATGGGTCATTGCTTGCAGGAATTTTATCATTCATTTCTTTCGATGGGGCCTCTGGACCTGTGAAATCCATTATTTGTGTCATGTTCTTTGCAACGTGCTCCATGTCTACACAGTGCATGCCGTGTTCTGGTATGTAAAGGGCTGTTGAGCTTTTGATTCTCTAAATAAATTAAATTATTTTGCCGACATGTGATACTGGTTGTTCAACAAACATTTATTTTCTTCACTTACAATGCAATATTGTATTAATTTTGCAGTAGTACGTTTCAAATTAAATCATTCAATTTAACATTTAGCAACAGGGTTAGTGCTAGGTTTATTATATTTTTATACCATATTTTGTATCATCTCTTTAAAAGAGGTGGAGCCCACCAATACAACGAGGCCCAACTCTATTAGAGAGGTGATACACAATGTGGTAAGCATATTATCTTCCGACATGAATAATACTCGATACACACTTAATTTTCGCCCGTAAATTTTGATTTGCTCCAATTAAAAAAACCAAAAGAAAAAACTTTGATATATGGTCTCGTGAAGTTCTTTTGTATTGTCTGTCTAAAATCCAAAATCCTCTTAGTAACATTCCAAACAAGTTTTAAACCATCCAATTCCAATTTTGTTTCATTGCCAAATACCCATGCAGATGTTTCCCCTTTCACTTAAAAATTCCTTCTTGTGTCTAGAAAAACTTAACTATCATAGGTACATAGGCGGAGCTAACCTTTCCTTATTTGAGGAGGCCAATAACTCAAAACTTTCATAATTTTCTTTCTAGTTGCATGTAGTTTCATGAGTTTTCATTAAATTTTAAAAAAGAAAAATGCGGCGTTTTTGGGTTCACGGCCGCACATATAATTTTTTTTTCTGTATCTCTCGTCACGTCATTTGTCACGTAAAGTTTCTTCCGTATGGATTTGTTACTGCCCATACTCAAAGCCTTTCATAGGCCTTCTATTTTGAGCCAGAAAGTTACTCAAGATCTCAAGTGGTATAGTATTTTTGAGGCACACAGACTTCTTCACCAATCATAAGGTAGTTAAGATGTCGTCTCTCACGTATGGCAAAACTTCAGACGTACAACTTGGGACAGAATTGAATATAAAAAGTTTTGTTGAGGTCAGTTATGTAATTTTCGTACAGTATTTCAAGTTTCAACAGCAATGGTTGTTGGGTCTTCCTCACCTCTACGCACCTCCACCTTCTCTTTAACACCCATTTAGAAACACACAACGACACCGACCCAGAAACCCAAGAGACCAGACCTCCATGCTTTGAGCATGCAGAGGTTTCTCTGAAAATATTTGGGTGTTCCATTTTTCCTAAGGAGCGTGGAATTTTTGGATCTGAATTTGGGTCAAACAAGTGAGTTGACTTCATTGACTTGGAATTGGTAATGAGTCATGTATTGATTTAGCTATTGGGTTTGGTTAGAGTGAAGAGAAGTACAATGTCTTGGAAGAGCAGAGGAGCCGAGTCAGCTTCAAAGAGTGCAGTGTCTCGGAAATGGACCATTTTGTTTTGTATTGGTTGCTTTTGTGCTGGGATGCTCTTCTCTGATAGGTAATTTCTACTCACATAAAGCTTCCATTTTTCTTTGAATTCAATCCATTTGTTTAAGTATTTAGCTTGTAACTCTAATTTGGTGAAGTTTGTAGCTTCCTTTTCCCCTTAATTTTAGTAAAAGATTTGGAATTTTGGTGGGTTTGTGTATATTGGCATCAATTGTGTCAGCCAATAGTTCTTAAAGAATATTGGTGACTGATGATGGATTTTGAACGGTCTTCTGGGTTTGGTAATTAAAGCATCTTTGGTGTATTTGTTAATTGTTTTCTGGGAATCTTAAAGTGGAGATTAATGATGATGACCGTGGTTTTTAAAAAAGCAGTTTTACTAATCAGAAAATGAAGCTTATATGTCCTGAAATTCTCATTTTTCTGTATTACAATTATGAGATTGTGATAGATCTGAATTTCATGTAATAGATCCAACTTTTGAAAGTTTTATATGAATATTATTCATCGTACTGCTTGAATTCAGACATCATGCTTGGACATCAGTTGCTATCCTAATCATTTAGTTCAAGAGAGGACTCTGGTGTCCCTTCTTCATTAAGTGGTCCTGCACCATCTTCTGTGCGGCCCCTCCCTCCCTCGACCTTTCCTTTCCCTCTCTTTGCTTCTCATTGACGGAAAACCTTTTGATGGGTTCCTCCTGCATGATTTCCGGATTAGGATATCAGTTTTTGATAACATCCACTAGCATCACTTATCTGCTTACACGTCACATTCTGGTTGCTACGTGCTATTTTTCTGCAAAATGTGCATGCATACACAGCAAAACATGTTATTACTTGGAACATTATCAAAGGCGATAAAGTAGCGTGTTCTATGGTAGAGTTTAATTCCAGGCTTGTTCTATACTTATAAAATAATAAATAAACTCTGCCAGCAGAATGTGGTCAGTGCCTGAAATTAAAGGCATAGCGAGGACGGAAAGGCATGAAGAAGAAACGCTGCAGTTAGTTTCTGGCTGTGATCCAACAATTGTGAGTATCTTTTATCCAAATAACCATGTCCTTTTCTTTTCTTTATTTGTTTATTTATCTCTACCTTTCTTTTTGTTTAGAAGGATGTAGAACATGAACAGAAGGATGTTTATGGGGAAGTTTCAAAGACTCATCATGCTATACAGTAAGCCAATGCCGGAGCTTATCTAAATTTTGTTGAAGTTGCCAGTGTTATATCTCATGACTCTTGCAAAATGCAGCACACTGGATAAAAAAATTTCAAATTTGGAGATGGAATTAGCTGCTGCAAGGGCTGCACAGGAATCTATCCTTAATGGTTCACCTATTGCAGAAAATTTAAAAATTCCGGAGACAAGAAAGAAAAGAAAATATCTGATGGTCGTAGGAATAAATACTGCTTTTAGCAGTCGAAAGCGCAGAGATTCAGTTCGTGCTACTTGGATGCCTCAAGGTTTGTTGATTGACAACCTGCTTTCTTGTATAATTTTCTAATTAGATTTGAAAGCGTCTGATATTTCCTTTCCACATTTTCTTTACTATATGATTAGGCAATAAAAGAAAGAAGCTTGAGGAAGAAAAGGGCATTGTAATTCGCTTTGTAATAGGTCACAGGTGGGCATTTGAGTTCAAAGCTATTTGTTGATACCAATTTTCTTTTGATTTCGCATTTAGGTATTCCGTCAATAGATTTCATGAAGGTCTCAGTCTTTCACAAGAAAATCTTGTAATTTCGTTCTTTGCTATTGAGATCTTTATCCTGCCATAGATTCAATCTATGTAAAGAGTTTTTATTCATTAAAAACATTCTGGGAATAATACAATGTGATAGAATCAAATACTCTTTTTCCCTTTGGTTGTGTCTTAAAATTCTAATTTCTTTTCCCTCTCCCTTCCACTATCCACATCATAATTTTATTCTCCATCATGTAAAGAAATAGTACAAGTATGCATGCTAGACAGCTTTCAGGCTCCATTGTCTATATGTGTATGTATGCATTCTGTTTTCACTACTGCATTTCTTATTTCTTATTTATTTTTTTGTTTTATCTCAAAGCTATTTTTTTTATCATGATTTACCCCGCCCGGTTATCTACGATTTAGTCATCTCAACTTTGAAATCTTTTGCACTTCTTTAAGGATAAAAAATATAAACTTTAATGATCACAAACTGATTTGTCTTCCTCTATCACCTGTTCCATTGCTAGTGCTACATCAGGTGGTATCCTTGATAGAGCTGTTGAAGCAGAGGACAAAAAACATGGTGACATTTTGCGGCTGGTAAGCCCTTATCTTTTCAACTAGTTCAGTTAGTCTTTTATCTGACTGCAGAACAGATATACAATGTATTCATAATGTGTTAATCTGAGGAAAAAGCTGATCGAAATTTGCCTTCATAAATTTTGTGAAAGCAGGATCATGTTGAGGGCTATCTTGAATTGTCAGCAAAGACGAAGATATTTTTTGCCACTGCTGTTGCTTCATGGGATGCAGATTTCTACGTCAAAGTTGATGATGATGTACATGTAAATATAGGTATATATTTATTACGTGTTCTGTTTCTTTTGTAGGAATAAAAGCATAAGAAATATTTTACTCAGGAGAGTTTTTTGTTTTATTGAGTTTGAAGCATTCATTATTCAAGCTCAAAATTACTTGTCCACTTGGTATTCATAAAGTTTCCTAAGTATTCATGCTTTACATAACCTCTAAAAGTTTTCATGATGAATACTGAGTGATGTAAAGCATTGTCTTTATATGACTATGTTTTGCAACAAAGTGCGTAGTACTGTGGCCAAAAATGTTGAAAATTTGTGTTTTCAAGGTTTTAAAACTGGAAATTGGCTTTTCTTGAATACAGCTGAAATCAGAGTCTTGTTTAAGTAGTCATTAATGTTGGCATTTTTGCTGCAGCCAGTGTGTAATAACTTTTGCCTATAAAGCTCAATTTTCCCTAGTGTCGAATTCATTCATCATGTTTTTCCAGGAACACTTGGAGCAACTTTAGCTAGACATAGATCAAACCCCAGGGTGTATATTGGATGCATGAAATCTGGTCCAGTCCTTGCTCGAAAGTGAGCTGTACACTCTTCAAACTATTTCTTTCAGCTAGTCGTTTTTGCCATTCTTTCCCTTACCTTATTTGTTTATCAACAGGGGAGTGAGATATCATGAGCCCGAGTATTGGAAATTTGGCGAGGAAGGGAACAAATATTTCCGTCATGCCACAGGACAGCTCTATGCTATCTCAAAAGACTTGGCTACTTACATATCAATCAACCAGTATGTTTCCATATTCTGTATGGTGGCAATCTTTCTGCCCAAAGTGCGTTTGCTTATTTCTTACATTATGCTAATCATGTAGGCATGTGCTACACAAGTACGCCAATGAGGATGTTTCTCTGGGGTCGTGGTTCATTGGATTGGATGTGGAGCAGATTGATGACCGAAGATTATGTTGTGGAACACCACCTGGTAATTTCATATGCATCTATTTTGTCCCATTTCCTTTTAACTATCTGGGTATTAATGAGGATTGCTATGGCATTAGTTTTGGGAAAAGAAATTTTGGTCACTAAGCATCTGATTAACCTGGGTTGTTGCATGTACCAGATCTTCAACGTTGTGTTTCAGTTATGTAGAGTGCCAATGGATCACCAAGACATTGTTTATTATTCCGACTCTTATAGCAAATAAGTTGACTTATTTATTTGGGTAGCACAATTTTCACTATGTGGCACACTGGGAATGGGGATAGTTTGGTGATTGTGAAATAAAGCATTGGCTTACATGTTATACAAGGCCTAGGTCCACAGGCAGCTGAGGTTTGAGTTTTTCACTCATTACAGACCCATAGAATTGAAATGCCAGAGGATATATTTAGTGTAAAAAAAGTGGGAAAGACACAATTACCCATTGTGTTTGCTGTTCTGAAAAATAATAATAATTAGAAGAGACGACTACTACCTCTTTAAAGCATGCCTGCCCTTTAGCTATGACCTTTGTTACAACACACAAGTCTGTGCAGTGGCTTTCATATCTAGGATTGTGTTATGGGTTGATTATAGCCCATTAATTGCCACACTTCTGTTTAGCTGGTGACACTTGATCATGGTGACCAGTGGCACATCCAAGACTCGTCATTAGATCTTAGCTTGGATCCTCCAACCTATTGACCATTTCTTACCAGAAGTTCACTTCTTTCTGTTTATGACGTACATTCTCATGTGACTTCTGTTTAAGACTTCAAGGTCAGGTTTGATCATGTGCGGAACAACGTGGGTGAAAGACACCTGTCTTTCCCTGTGATACTCTTTCCATGTTATTGGTGGGTGAGTTTTGTGTGGATTTGCCCATTCATTCATGATAAGTTTACATGTTAAAATTACAAATAAAACAAAATGGGGGTGAAACTTAACGGTGCATGGTTCAAGCTAGGAACAGATATTATCATAATGAAATGTACAATTAGAAGTTTAATGGTGTTAATTGTTACCACAGATTGTGAATGGAAGGCTCAGGCAGGCAATGTCTGTGTTGCTTCATTCGATTGGAGTTGCAGTGGAATCTGCAAGTCTTCCGAGAGGATCAAGGAGGTCCATCGGCGCTGTGGAGAAGGTGAGAATGCTTTGTGGAATGCAGTTTTCTAACCGGCAACTTTCTTCCTAACTCAGGAGGAACATGTAAATGGCTTGAGCTTGTATCATAAAGTTCCACACAGAAAAATGTTTGTAACACGATATGTAAAATGAGATGCATAGCGAGATGGGTTGGCACCCTGCTGGGGAAGTTGCTTTTCCATTTCTGGGATTCTACTCCATTTTAGAAGAGGAGAGAACCCCAATAACAAACTTAAAAGAGGCAAGAGATTATAGTTAATTCATTCTTTGAGTGCTTCCAGGGCCATTTGTAAGTCTTCCATGGCTAATGGAGCTCCACAATAAGTGCCAATGTCCTGCTGCCTTCTACTTTATAAATTAGTGCATTGCAGTTGAACTTTTTGTGGGTTTTATACCCTTTCCATGATAGTAGAAGAAATGAGGATGGATATTTATTTTTTGGTGCTCTTTCTTGATGATGAAGCTTCACTGTGCAAAGCGTATGTGACCACAGGCCAGTTGACTCAATTCACTTGAATTGACTGAGTTAACAACTTGTTGATCATAGATACTGCATTAACTGTAACTCGCAGTATTTATTTGTACTCCCATCTACCTGGCTCAGACTAATGAATTTGAGTAGGTGAACTATAAAAGCATCAAGTGACCAAACAAAGGTCATCCATTAAGTACACAGCTCAACCAAATTGATGGGAGAAAATTTACCAATAAAAGAAAAAAAAATTATGGGTGAAGACAAATAAGTTATCACCATCAGAGGCAACCAAATGGATTATCTAGCTCTTGTACTTATAGCATTCTGGGTGGCTCTTTGAGGAAATTATGTTTCCCAACACAAAAAATAAGAATAGATTAGACTTATGATCAACAATCCTCTTTAGGGTGGATTTCCAGTTTTCACTCAAGTGCTTGATTGGGACTTGGATAAATAATTTTCTCATCATCTTTCTTTCAAAGTGGTGGAGCATCATCATTTCACTCAATGTTTGCCAACTGTTATATTATAATTAACCATAGCTAATAAAAGTGTTCACCTAAGAAACTTGAAAGAGATGAAAGTGAGGAACTATGATTTCAGTGGTTGAATTGATCATGCTTTTGAATGCATATGTTGTTCAATTGTTCTCATGACACGTTTACTAATCCATATTCGGATTATGAGGAATTGAATTAAAGAGGAGTTTAATTGAGAAAAATTAGATTTCGTATTAACTATTGAAGTTATTTACTAAACCATATGAATGGAAAGAATTTTGCTATACTAAAGTTAAAAGATGGTGTTCGACCAAAAAAAAGTTAAAAAAATGGCGGGCCTATGAATTTCCTTTCTCATAATAAAGTAGTTTAAAGTATCAGGGAAGCCTGATGTCGTGTAGAATCACCATCAATCATTGCATTTGTTCTAGATAATCACAACACACTGTCATGATTTCCAGCACTTGAAAAGCAACAGCCCCACTATCATATCTTTTCCCCTCCCACTAACAAGACTCCATGTAATATATCTCCACACATTCTTTCAAGCATTTTGTTTTATACATAAAAATCAAATAAAACCTTAGCTAAGTAAAATATTGATTATTTTTCCACCAAAAAAAGAGATTACAAGTACGTAAGTACATCTAACATCTTCCCTAAACTGTTTTATATTTATTACCCACATTACCATTTTAGTCTTAGCAACATTTTCATCTCTCTTGTGCATAAAAAAAAAAAATAGAAAAGAAAAGAAATTTTCATCTTTCTCTGCAGTCTGCCTGCACTCTACTATAATAGGACCAGAGGTTCTTGTTAAAGTGAAAGTTGGTCTTATTTGCATTGCCCAAAAATGAGAGAAAACTTAGATGAAAATGCTCCTAACTTCACTTCCAACCTTCCTGTTCCTGCCCTGAAGCTCCTAGATTGCTCCCTTCGGGTTTCAGTGATTCCTCTTAGCATTGCAACCATATGGCTCACTGTGACAAACAAACAAGACAACATCAGCTATGGGAAGCTAGAGTTCAGCAATTTCATGGGCCTCAAGCAAGAACCCCATTCATCTTCTTTTTCATTTTCTTGGACATTAATTTGTCTGCCTAATTCTTCTGTTTTTAAATTTAATATTTGAGCTGTCTTTCTGCAGGTACATGGTTTGCATCAGCACCATTTCTGCTGCATATGCTTTTCTTGCAACTATGGCCTCATGGATCAGATGCTTGGTGACTAAAGCTTGGCTTTTCTTTGTCTCTGACCAGGTTCATTTTCTTCGCCCTTCTTTGTCCCCTTCAATTTATTTTATTTTCTTTCTCTTTTTTCACTTTCAGACATAATAATAATAATACATAGCAGGTGGATGTTTGGAATTTTGGGGAAAAAAAGAAATACCTACCCTCATAAATAATTCTGTTCTTATTATTTTTTTCACATATGTTTGGTCTTTAGCATGTTTGAGCCACCTGCTGTTTCTCATAAAGAGGTGGATGAAGAGAGGACTTAGATGGGTTTTCTTCCATAAATCTGAAGAACATAAAAAGAAATATGATATATATATATATATATATATATATATATATATGTATGTATATTTGTGAAATGATTAGTTTTGAAGTGTTTCCAAGTAGTTGGAATATCTGCTTTTCCAGATTATAATAAGGGTCTATGCTTCTAACACAAATCATCTTGTTTGAAAAGTGGAGCACTTTAGTGCACTGAAAGTCCATATTCTCACCTACCACACCCAAAGCAGAACTTTCCACCGACTTATTAGAGTCAAGATGAAGCTCCAAAAATTTGTCGGAAAGTATTACACAAAGTAGTGTGACTGTCATTTAAAATGCATTTCATGCGAGCGTTTCAATATTGAAAGAGATTTTAAGTTCGATTTTCTTCTTCTTCATTGATTGCAAAAACGAAAAAAATACTAAAAGTAATAATTTTTTTTATACGACCAAAATTGACAATCAGTCCTTGTAGTTTACTGTAATTATCATGTGATTTACTTATACTAATGTTCAATTTCCATCAATTTAGTAGGTCACATGTAAGGCATTATAATCTTTCTTGTCCATGCTCATTGAATCAGTTAAAATAATGCACTTCAGTCCAAGTAAACCCAAAGAACTTGGTTGCAAATTGATGTAATTAAGTATTCGATCAAAACTAGTATAAACCACAAAGATAAAATCGATAACATTGAAACCGTAGTACCTGAAAAAGATCCTAATATTTGCAGAAGGCCCATTTGATTGTTAGTACTACTACGCTCTCTAAATTTATTTAAATTGCTAGTCATGCTGACTTAAGAATGAGTTGATTGTTGCTTGGTTATGATGAGCTATGTATGAACTATGATTTCTGATGGAATTTGTTTGTGAAATGCAGTAGCCAAATTAAACTTCATTTCTAATAGATAAGAAGATCTTAACATGTGCATGAATTCTCCAATTATATAGTGAAGTATTGTTTATATTATATCTGACCAAGCACAATTCGTAAGAAGTGGGCCTTGAAGTGATGACCGTTACTGAACCACCGAGCCTGCCCCTTGTCGAACCATATAGCCACGTCGTCATGCCAATAGTTCAACATCGAAGAAATCACAAGTGCACTGTCGCTATGTCAAATTAATTCCTCAATCTATTAATCTAATCATATTGGTGCCTTGGGTTGTCTCTTTTTACAAATTTCAGTACCATCCGCAGAAGAACGCCAGCGATCGAAGACAAATCTGTAAGTTGACTCCAGTTTTGGACATAAGGCCTTCTCCAGGGAGACAAAATCCAAAATTTGGAATTTTTAGCCCAGAATCTTTTCCAATTCATGTATTTGGAGGGGGGAAATTTGGGTTGACTGAAAAATAGGGTGGAATTAACATTACACTTCAATGACTGCTTTTCAAATGGGTTGCTTTCTTTTGTTTTGTTTTTTTAAAATCTAAGGGCTAGAAATCAATGGCTGATATTAAAACTTGGCTGGATCAACAGGAAAAAAGTAATTCAAGAGTTGAAATTTAAATCCAAAGGTAAAAATAAGTAAATATATTATTCTAAGTTGGATATAACCTCAAAACTCTATAAATACTCATCAATTTGTTAAAAAAAAAAAAAGAATTATATAATTCTTTAACAATTTAATAAAATTGTGAACTCAAATTATGAGTTCACAAGATTGGAGGAAAAAACAGATTGCGTCATAAAAAATGAAAATACATAAATAATTGTATTTTGGATTTGAGTCCTCTAGGGTTGGAACAAGTACAAATTAAAGCAAACTTGTTGAGCTTAGCATTGTATTTGTTTTTCAGTCAGAGTTGACCCAGTTCTATTTGTGGTCCATCGAAACTCGGCCCAATATGGAGGAGGTTCAGAAAGGACTGCAGTCCAGATTAGTCCAAGGAGAACTCAACTGATTGTTGTGACCCTTTGAACAGCAAACGAAACGACAACGATGACCGTCGTTTAGTGGAGAAGGTGAATGAGTGAGGAGTGAAGAAATTTGCTTTCGGGATAAGTAGTAAAAGTAGTCACATCCTTTCTTTTGAGCAATATCAGTTTACCGATCACAGTTTTTCGCTTTTGTATTTCTTCTGTTTCTCTCTCTCTCTCTCGCTCGCGGATTCTTTTCCAAATATTTTTCCTTTGCTTGTTCTTCAGATATTCTGTGGTAAGAAGTTGCAGAAAAGAGAAGGCTTTTTGGTTTTTTATAGTCTTTCGATTAACCATTTTTTTTCAATCGGAAACCCTAATTTGGTTCTTTTTTCTGTGCTGTGATCGGAACCCGGAAGTGCTAGCGAAACCGTCAAGACTTGTAATCCTCCATGGCTAAAAGCTCCTTCAAGCTGGAACACCCACTCGGTTCTCTCTCCCTCCCTCCCTCTCTCTCCCTCTCTGATGTGATTGATCTCGAGTTACATATGGGTTTTGTTGATTGAAAATGGGTCTCTCGCAATTTCCTTAATTTATGAACATAGTATTGAAATTTTGTTATTTTTATACTGAATTAAGCTTCAACCTTTATCTTTCTTGATTTGGGCTATCTCTTCTTTTCCCTTATTATTTTCCTTTTTGTTTATATTTATGAGTTGTATGATCTGTGTTGCTGATTTTCTGAGATTTAATTTAGAGATGAATTGTCAACCTCAGTATATGAATATTACTTTTAATTTGAATTGGTCTAGGCCCTTCCATTTTGATTTTCTCTGTGTCTGCCTTCTATAGAGTCAGCATCACTATAGTTCTGATATCTTCCAGTAGATCAGATCCTACAAGCTTATTCATTTTTCCTTGTTTTATTTTTTTTAATTGTTGGTTCTTTCTCCAGAAAGGAGGCAGGCAGAAGCTGCTCGGATCAGGGAGAAGTATCCTGACAGAATTCCGGTATGAATATCATTTGCAATTCATCAAGAGCCATCTTATAAAAAGGGTCATGGGGCAGTTAGAAGCTATAAGGCCTTTTAGAGCCTAAGCACAATGCAATTATAAACTTTAACTTCTCAAAATGTTAATTAATACAAAACTTGGACCAAGAAAAGCTTGTTTAAGCCTTGAGCTTTGCAAAAAAAGCATGTGCTCTTGTGTTTGAGTTGTGCCTCTCTAAAGGGACTTCGTGAAGGTCGAAAATTCTCCAAGCAATACTCGTATAACTTGGGGCTTGAAGTGTGGTGCATTTTTATAGCACTTTCAAGACCCTTGTCCATATGCAGTATTATACATAATTGTTCTTTAATTATGTGTTCATCTTCTTTTTTCTCTATATAGGTTATTGTGGAGAAGGCTGAAAGAAGTGACATACCAGACATTGATAAGAAGAAGTCAGTCTTGTCTTTATTTGTTTCACATGTGCTTTATATATTTCTATTTTGGTTGTTCCCAATTTTCTTAGTAATCAAGACTTCATACTGGCTTGTACGTGATAGAATTTATTTATTTTTCCTGCTTTGATGAGTTATGCCATGATGCTTGCTTCTTGGTACTCTGCAATTTTCTAAAAGGTTTTCGTTTTGAAGAATGTGCACATGTGTGTGTCTGCACACATTTGTGTGACACTTCTTTGGTAGGGTCAAGACTTGATACATGCTTCTATGTTATAGATTTTTTTTTCCCTGCTTTGATGAGTTCTGCATGGGCTTGCTTGCTGGCACTTTACAATTTTCCAAACCATTTTGAAAGAATGTGTGTGGTGTTGTTGGCTATATATGTCTTGCATGGGATTAAGTTAGACATTGCCAAACTATGGTTACATTATAGATTATTTCCTACATAGGGTGTTTCATGTGTATGATTAAGTGTTTACCGTGGAACACAAACAAGTTATGCGTCTTTGATCTAGAAATTTAACTTCACATGTATCACTAGCCATCACGGTTTCTCACTTCATAATATTACCAGAAGAAATTAGGAAGAGCTAGTGCTAGCATTGAAGCTGAAATGTTAGTTTCTAACAAATGGACTTTTGATTGTTACACTCTGTAAAACATTCTTTTCACAGTGCACGATCTAATTCAATGGATTTTGTGTAATGATCAATGGTTGAAACAGATATTTGGTTCCTGCTGATTTGACTGTTGGGCAGTTTGTTTATGTGGTTCGTAAGAGGATAAAACTCAGTGCTGAGAAGGCTATTTTTATATTTGTCAAGAACATTTTGCCACCCACTGGTGAGAATAATGCTCCAAAGATGTTTCGTATATGCATCTAATGACCTATTTCTCAACTTATGTTTGGTTTTGTGCTATTGCAGCTGCCATGATGTCTGCAATCTATGAGGAAAACAAAGATGAGGATGGTTTCCTTTACATGACCTACAGCGGCGAAAACACATTTGGTTAATCCCAGTGCAGTCAAGTTGATATGTAAATAAGACGTTTAAGAAGTATGAAAAATTTGTAAATTCTCAGATTTCAACTTCTGCTATTGCAGTCCCAAATTTGAGGTTGCTCTTCCTATAATGCCTACTGTTAACATTTGGATCTATGACCTTATGCTGGAAATATTATATGGTTAATCCTTTTATGACTTCAGTGAGTAAATTGTTGAATGCATGATGTTTATTTTTCTTTCCAATTTTTCATGTTTTGCGTTTGTGTTTGATGATTTCCTACCTAGAGTGCCATGATATCTATTGAATGTGCTTGGTGCTCAACCTTGCTGCAAATTCAATCTCTTCTTGAAGTGCTTGAACCACACTCTACTCCTTGAACAACACTTTACTCCACCATTAGTGCTTGAACCACACTCTACTCCACCATTCCTCCCATTATCATTTAAGTTTGGTAAAATATGACACGTCTCATTCTTTGAAGGACAACGAAATGCCACCAGCTGGTCCTGGGCAACAAGGTTGAAATCTGATACCTGTTTAGCGGCTAGGACCAGACATGACCGCCACCAATGAAAATGCACTAACTGTCGTGTCTCATGCTTTCGCAAGAGGCGATGACCGTTATGTGGAGCTTTGTAGAATGACTTGCAGCATCATGATCATTCTATTTCCCAAGTTTCTTATGCTCTTCTAAAATATGTTCTTATAGTTACAGCTGAACAATACCAGTTGCTTATGGACTTGTAAGCTCATCAACAGCGAAGACACTATTTTAATCACCAAGTGACAAAAAAACAGAAAAAAGACATCAATTAAAATATCAACAGCGAAGAAATTTTCCAGCGAATTTTCTCGGGAAACACCCCCTTATACACCCCCCACTGTGGATGCTCTTATGTGGAGCTTTGTAGAATGACTTGCAGCATCATGATCATTCTATTTCCCAAGTTTCTTATGCTCTTCTAAAATATGTTCATATAGTTACAGCTGAACAATACCAGTTGCTTATGGACTTGTAAGCTCATCAACAGCGAAGACACTATTTTAATCACCAAGTGACAAAAAAGAAAAAAAAACAGACATCAATTAAAATATGATATTATTTTAAACACCAAGCCGTAAACTGGTCACATTGCCTTACTAACATTCTTTTCTATATACTAATTGCTGATAAATCTCCCAACCCACATGGCTCAGTTGTATATATAATTATTCCATGCTCATTCATCCCAAATTTTCTCCTAGCGTGCCAGAAACTCCATGACTGCAAAAACCAAAAATCATATATCAATTACTTAAATCATGTGACAGAATGATTTAAAGATAATCATACAACATACTCCCAAAAATATAATAGAGTAATACTACAAACAGTAGACCACGCAAGCGTTAGTAGTTGCTATTGATGTAAGTGAACCTCACAATGCATTAATGGGTGACATATAAAAAAAAATGTGCGCAAAATGTTATACATCGATAACAACAGTTGTGACAGGGACTTTGGACTCTTGAGTAAAAATGTATCTTCACAAATAAGGCTCTCAAAATTCCATATTATAGTATAAAACACTTGAAGCACATTTGATAGGTGAGGACTTTTTTTCCCTGGTTTGATTCTTTAAATGTCTCATACTAACATGAAGAGTTGTAATGAGAACTACACTAATGAAACACAATAAATAAAAACCATTTATAAGGGGGCATGTTCAAAGTACTTTACAAGTAGATATGAGACACTTTTAACAATCACTTTTGCATTTATTAGTGCACACAAAGTTGATCAAAGCACTCTTTCTTCTTTAATATTTTAAACTGCATTATTACAATAGTTTTTTTGTTTCCTTCAAAACTTTAAAGAAAAAGTGAATAAAAGTCGAATTCGTGTGGAAATAAATGCTCTACAACTAAAACTAAAAACTCAGAATTAAATATACATATTAATCATTGATTAAATAAAAAATTAAATAGAAAAAGTAAAACTTACTACGACGAGTACGCTTCTTGTACAAGATAGTGTAATCGCAGTGACGGCACTGAACCTTTTCGCTTGGCTTCAAAGTGACTTCTTCCCCACAACCTACAAGTTAACATCACAAAATAAAAAAGGCTTGCTTTTTCATGTTTCCAAAAAATTATTTTCTTTCATTCTTTCCAGCGAATTTTCTCGGGAAACAAAAGGAAAAGTGGGTACCTCCGCAGGTGTACTTGACTTGCTCTGGCTGAGGCTGAGGATCCATGATCTATGAGGGTCAGCTTCTAGGGTTTGTGACTTGACTGTTTCCTAAAGGTGAAAACCTAAACAGTAAATATTTATAAGCAAAACAAAAGCCTGATATTTGTACTTCCCTTTTTATTTATTTATTTATTTATTTTGTTTTGTTAAAAGAAGCAAAGTCCTAAGAAACAACTGACTCTCAGGCATGCTACAAGTTACAACTGTTTTTTTTCCCCCCAGCTAATTTGGGGACATACCATAATTAGCCTGCAAATTAAGTTAAAATTATTAATCTTCGCATGTCATTAATGATTAATCTGGCCTCCAAAATAAGTTATTCCTCACCTGCCACATTCATAAATTTTTTTTTGATAAATACCACGAGATGTCGACACATCCGAAAGGTGGGATTAATCCCCGTTCGAGATTCAACTTGCCCCAGGCCACATTCATAATTTTGACTAATTAATATTCTGCCATTTTAGGCAGGGGATCTTGGCTCTACAACAAGGATTAGGCAAATCAACACAAAGTATCAATTACCATAAGTGATAAATTAGATCTATAATTAATAATGTGGCATCCATAATTGATCCAAAAAAAGATATATAAGTTAATATTACAATACCATGATAAAGGCAAACACCATCAAGGAGGATGAAACAACAAGAGTCTCTTTTAAGCTATCAAAGCTTTTATTATCTTCTCTGTAATAATTTATAATAATATTTTGTATAGTTGAATATCATCCTCAGCAAATTCCCGGCATGTTGTCCCAAGAGCTAGAGGTTCTGCCATGCTCTGCTGTGGCAGCAACAGGGAACAATGAGGCCATATGCTGCTGCATGTCAAAATCCAAACAAGCATCTGTTACGCCGGAAGAGTGACTGTTGGAGAGCTCTCCACTGTCACTATACCAATCGGAGATGGGATCGGTGGAAGGGATGAAACTGAACAGCTTTGACAAATCTTCAGGCATGGAGCTAATGTGATCATCCTGGATTGGCTTTGCTTCTGGCATGTATTGAGAGAAAAGGTCATTACTACGAAAGTCAGATTAATTAACAAACAAATTAAGAAAGAGAAAATGGCTCCTAGCAGAGAGAGAAAGAGAGAGCACATCCTTTAACTAGGTTTTGCAAATATGATGAAGGATGAGCATGAGACTCGCTGTAAACTCAGACATCCTCGGTTCCAACCCTCAAATGCGCAAAAACTTAAAAGGATAAGAGAAGTTGAGAATAGAAAAGAAAAGATAGAGAAGTCCACTCTAGAGGCAGGGTCAGTTAATCTGCACCATCTAAACCATCACTTACTTAAAAAGAACAGAAAAGAAAAGACATATGCACACGCTTCACACACAAAGTCTCCATATTCGAAATATGGAAATGTGTGGACATCAAGGCTTTACCTAAAGATGCTAATGACACACAAAGTTTTCCACTTCAGAAGATGATTTTACTTGTTCATTATCACTAATATTAGAAAATCAAATCATAATTCATTTTGGGGAATCTGAGGATAAGAACTTTGACAATTGAGATGTTAATGCGTCTGAGCTGTGTTTAGTGTCATAAACCATAATTGAAACATAAATTTTTTTTCTTTCACGACTCACTCAATTCAGAAAAACTTTTGTGAAACGGAATATCAATATTTTGCTATCCCGATCAATCATGGTATGTTACGCATGATAAGTTTTTCATTTAGCATGATTGGTCAGGATAGCAAAATAGTGCTAATTCCCATTCCGCACAAGTGTTTCTCCACTCAATATTATGGTAGTAAAGGTAGCATTTGAAACGCATTAAAAAGAACCAAAATCAAAGCAGATCAAAAGGAAGTTAATGCTTTAGAAAGCATCAAAAGCCCACCTTAAACAGCATTTGATGTGTCCGACACAATAAATTGCATGCACACAATGAAACAGAGCATTTAAGCACAAACAAGCAGAAACAGAGCATTTATGATGAAAACCGAAATTCAATCACAAACAAACAAGAATAACAAAATTAACAAAAAACCAATACTTCACCTAATAACGAGCCCGCCATGGAGCTTGTAGACTGCAGCCATCGGGCATAATTATCCGACACATACTTCTCCTCAAATGAACTAAATAGCCCATTTGCTCTCTTTGAAGGATTTCCACCACCACAAGCTAATACCTCAGCTTCTTGTAATAAGTCCTCCAACAACCCATTACTGATATGGCTCTGGCTGGCGGATACTGCTGCTGCTGCCCCTGCCGAGCTTACCTTAGTATCAATGGTAACCTCAGACTGCGTTTGGGATACTTGGCTTGAAGGGAGCTCCGACTTGACTGAGTAAACTGAGCCAGTAGATGACAAGAAACTCTCAGAGTACTCGAACTGGGTTTGCGACGATGGCAATGGCGGTAAAGATGGGTTCAAAGTCCGCGGGAACTGAAAGGAGGCAATGTCAGGCATTGAATTGGTGCCTGTTAAGTGAGAAGAGGCCATGTCGGTCATTGAATTGGTGCGTAGAATGGAAGCACTTCTTTGCGGGGTTGGGGAGACAGGGGGGGAGAATCCGGTAGAGTCACGGTACCTTTTGTAGCGTACTGGGGCTCCGAGGATGGGGGCGGGACGGTGGAAGGTGAAGGAGGAGAAGGAAGAGTTGGTGGTGGGGTTGCTGGGATCAAAGAGAGTAGTGGACTTGGGATGGTGTGGGGAGGAGAGAGGAGAGAGAGATGGTGGAGTGGGGGAGAGTGAGTGCACATTATGGGCTTGGATTGGGCTTTGGATTTGGAAGGAAAACGTTGGGGTTGTGCAATTAGTGGTGGATTGGAAAGGGTTAGGGATTGTGGTTGTGGGTAGGGATCGGGAATGGGAATGGGATTGTTGGGATTGTTTAATGTCATTGGGATATAGCGGTAGGCCTTGGCGCTGCCTCCTCTTCACCCTTGTGTTCCAGTAGTTCTTTATTTCGTTGTCTGTTCGCCCAGGTAACTATACAAAAAGGAACAGAAAGAATCAGATGAGATTAAAGCAAAAGCCATAGCAGTTTTTTTTATTTTTTCTTCAAAAGCAGGGGGAAGAAGCCATATGAAATCTGTTTCCAGAGCGAAAAGGCCAATCCCAGCAGCATTTTGTTTTCCAAAACAAAAACATGGGCAGGCAGCAGAAGAAATAAAAAACACAGAAATGAAATGAGGAAATTATCATTAAAGATGAAAACTCATTTGTAGTTACCTGAGAAGCCATGCGAGCCCATTTGTTGCCATACTTGGCGTGCAGCTCAAGAATGAGCCTCTCTTCCTCAGGAGAGAAGGCACCTTTCTTCAAGTTGGGACGGAGATGATTGGCCCAGCGGAGCCTGCAGCTCTTGCCGCAGCGATTGAGGCCAGAGTTCCTCTGCACCGCGTTCCAATTGCCCTCGCCGTGTTTCCTCACATACTCCATCAAAATCTGGTCCTCCGCCGCCGTCCATGGACCTTTCTTCAGACCCTTGCTGCCCTCCACCACATCACCACCACCTCCTCCTCCGCCGCTCAATTCCTGCGGCGACCTTCCCTCGCTCTGCTGTGGCAAACCGCTGTTGTTGTTGTTGCTGCTGGGTGTCATTATCAATGAAATAGAGAGACCAATATCAAAGATAGACAGATTCTGGTTGGCCCAGCAAGTCAATATCACACACAACCCAGGCAGAAATTGTATATAATTGCAAAGAAAACTATTTGAGCTGCACTTTTTTGTGGCCCCCAGTTGCTTAGTTTTTCTTTGAAATTTACATGTTAATTATGCTGCCCTTTCTATTGGGTATGTTGATGAGTTTCTGTGGGTTTTTTTCGTTTTTTTGATAGCAGTATTGGGTTTGACAGAGACCCCTCTCTCCTCCTTTGTGATAAAGAAACTTTGTTGTAGCAATACTTCAACCTTTTAGAGCTTGTTGGGGTTCGAGTATTAGGAGAAAGAGAGGGGCGGACGAGGAGGAGGTGGTGGTGAGAGAAGAAGCCTTCCTTTAGCCTCTAGCACCCGGAAATCAGACGAGCGATGAGAGATGAGAGATGAGAGATGGGTTGTTGTTGTTGTAGTTGTTTGTTGCAGCGGAGGAAGCCTCCTAAACAAATATGTATAATAATGTAAAATGTATGTGTTTAGAAGTGTACTTGTGAGACTCCAAGCTGTAACAAAATTTTTTAGGGGCTGCTCATATTTTTGGGCAATTGGTTTTTTCAAAGCCTTTTCATCACGCGACACAAAATCTTCTTTTAGGCTTAGCTGGTACCTTGGGGTGTCTTGGCATTTGTCAGTTCATTACTGTGGTAAAAAAGGTAAAGACAGATGGGTTTTGGTTATTTTGGGGGAAGTGGGTAAGGTGGCAGTTCAAGATTGCCATTTCGTTCAGATTGGGGAGTTAGCTAAGACGGCGCCGTTTTTCAGAGTTTCAGTACAAACTACAACCCATTGGCTCCTTTTGTCACCCACGGCCTGGACGCGAAGCCCTCATGTCCTCTGTAAGAGCACTTCCAACGGTAGCCCATGTCAGGGCAGGAAGGGCCCAAGCCCTGTTTGCGCATTCCAGCGAGCCAAAGCGGCCGGGGCAGCAGTTGGGTCCCAGCAAATCGGGCCAGCTCAAAGGCAAAACAAGCCCGTGCTCTAGCCTGAGGGCAGCTAACGTCATGGCTGACGCCATGTGCACAGAAGTTTAAATTTTTTTTACTGTTGGCGCATGCATTGTGTGCTGACGCCAGGCTGGCGTCAGCCCTGATTTCTGCCAACGGCTACAAGCCACGTGGTGCATTTTGGGTTCTCCGATCGTTTTTGTCCTCTAATCCAATGGCTGTCCATTTTTTTTTTAAAGCTTAAAAAATCTAAAAAAAATTCGAAATTTTTTTTTTAAAACTACCAAAAAATTCTGAATTTTTTTTTTCTATAAATACCTACCAAATCTTCATACATTTTCTTCTCCTGCCAATATTATTCACTTTCCACACCCAATTTTCTACTACTAAATTTCATTTGTATAAAAATATAAACGGCCTCTTCCATCGAAGCCGGAGGGTCGTGGACAAATGATCGAAGAGGTCAAAATCTTGGTGATGAGGTAAAAAATTTATAATTGCCGTTTTATTCAATTTAATGTCATTATTTTTAATATTTTCTTGCATTTCTAATTTAATTTTTTTAATAGATTATTCAAGGCAAAAGAAAAAAAGGAAAACCATTACACATGGCTCCTCAATTGAGTCAATGTGCCCCCCGTGCATTCATTTCGTGTCCCACATTCCTTCATTCCGTCAATTTCCTCAATAACACCGTTAACTTGCTGACATAACATAGGTGTTTTAGTAATTTGACATATTTCTTTGAAGCATGATCATTTTCAGAGATTTTGAATATTTCATTTTTAAGGCCTCCTACCTTTATATATATAGATATATAGATAGATAACATGTGAGGTTATTCCTAAAGAACCCCAATTCTTTTGAGTTTATATCTAATTTTCCATTACTTTTTAATCGATTTTTTCCGTTAAAATTTTTGTAGGAGGTTTTTGTCTGTGGCACTGACACCTCATTTACACTCCTAGAGTGGACAATGTCCGAGCTTTTAAGGCATCCAAGAGTCATGGAAAAATTGCAGAATGAGGTGAGGGGGATAGTGGGCAAGAAAACAGACATAATTAGAGAGGATGATTTGGTTGAGATGAACTACTTGAAGGCGGTGATCAAGGAGACTCTTCGCCTACATCCTTCAGTTCCATTGTTATTGCCCAAGCTATCGACCCAAGATGCACAAATAAATGGGTACGACATTAAAGCCAACACACAAGTTATAGTGAATGCATGGCAAATTGGAAGAGATCCCAAGTCATACAACAAGCCAGAGGAATTCGAGCCAGAAAAGTTCTTGGACAGTGCCATAGATTATAAAGGCAATTACTTCCACTACATTCCATTTGGGGTTGGCAGAAGAGGTTGCCTAGGAATTCAGTTTGCCATGGTTGTCCAAGAGATTGCTTTGACAAATTTAGTGCACAAGTTCGACTGGGCGTTGCCCGATGGCACAAGAGGGGAGGACTTATACATGACTGAATCTAGTGGAACAAGCATTCGCAGAGTATTTCCGCTTAAAGTTGTTGCTATTCCATATTCGGGCTAATATAGTATTGGTGTATCCGAATTGGAACTCCTTTATTCACAGAAAATAACAAATTATAATATCTTACGCCATTATCTGGTAATAAGAATTTGGCCTTAGAGGGCGTGTTGTCTTAAAATGAAATGTATGTACTGCATATATACCGGTAGCTCCAAGTGATGATGTTCATAGTTTGATCATTGTTCATATGCCGCCACTGGTCCAAACACAAAACACACTAAAGCCCAACCTGAGACTGCAAACAAAGATAAAATGCCCATTCAGAAAAAAAGACATTAAATACACCCAAAATTAAAAAACCTAGGCCTTATTCCAATAGTATAGAACCCAAACATTTCTGGGTTGAAAACAGTAAAGCGCTATGAGTGAAATACATTCAGACTTGGACTCAATTCTCAATTCTTATTTGGTAATAAGAATTTGAAATAATGTTTAGGTTTTATGTTATCATTAATATAAGGGTAATGCTAGGCTTACTACATTTTTTATACCACATTATATACATCTCTAATAGAGGTGGAGCCCACCAATACAATGGGCCCCACCTCTATTAGAGAGATGGTATATAATGTGGTAAGTCTAGTATTTTCCTTAGTATAATATGTATTAAGAAAAGTGTGGAACTGCTTGTGGGCTCACTGACTATCGAGTTGTTGAAATGTCCATTATCTGGTTCCCAGGAAAGGATTTTCTAATAAACTCTCAATTTGGCTTTTATTTATTCATTTAAAGGATATAATTAAAAAAGGATGCGATAAACGCATAATTACCATCTAAGAGTGATGCAAAAATTGCAGAATGAGGTGAGGGGGATAGTGGGCAAGAAAACAGACATAATTATAGACGATGATTTGGTTGAAATGAACTACTTGAAGGACCAATGAGGGTTGGTCAGAGTGGAAGGGGCTCTGGTCGCTTAAGTAAGTGGTCTCAGGTTCGAGCCCTTGTGGATGCAGAAAACTTTCTTGGGAGAGATCCCAGCATATGCGACCGACAGTATCTCGAAGGATTAGGCCTGGGCTATGCCTGGGGATACCTTGGGAAACAAAAAAAAAAAAAACTACTTGAAGGCGGTGATTAAGGAGACTCTCCGCCTACATCTTTCAATTCCTTTGCTATTGCCCAGGCAATTGACCCAAGATGCACAAATAAATGGCTACGACATTAAAGCCAACACATAAGTTATAGTGAATGCATGGCAAATTGGAAGAGATCCCAAGTCATACAACAAGCCAGAAAGGTTCTTGGACAGTGCCATAGATTATAAAGGCAATTACTTCCACTACATTCCATTTGGGGATGGCAGAAGAGATTGCCCAGGAATTCAGTTTGCCATGGCTGTCCAAGAGATTGCTTTGGCAAATTTAGTGCACAAGTTCGACTGAGCGTTGCCCGATGGCACAAGAATGGAGGACTTAGACATGATTGAATCTAGTGGAACAAGCGTTCATAGAGTATTTCCTCTTAAAGTTGTTGCTGTTCCATATTCGGGCTAATATAGTGTTGGTGTATCCGAATTGGACCTCCTTTATTCACAGAAAATAACAAATTATAATATCTTACGCCATTATTTGGTAATAAGAATTTGAAATAATGTTTTGGTTTTATGTTATCATTAATATAATATGTATTAAGAAAAGTGTGGAACTGCTTGTGGGCTCACTGACTATCGAGTTGTTGAAATGTCCATTATTTGGTTTCCCAAGAAAGGATTTTCTAATAAACTCTCAATTTGGCTTTTATTTATTCATTTAAAGGATATAATTAAAAAAGGACGCGATAAATACATAATTACCACAATCACAATAATGTGAGAATTGATTATGATGCATAAAGAAACATGTGTAAATTATTAAAATAGTTATGCATATAATTGTTATAAATATAAATATCAAATGATATACATGTGAAATTCTACTTCTTTGTCCATACCAAAGAAAAGAAAAGAAATTCAACTTCTTTAAAAAACAACTTGTAGAGACATTATAAATATCAAATGGTGTAGTATATATTCACAAAGTTGTTTGCATCATGGTGGGGATAAGGTGTTGGAGAGGAATGAAAGTGGTAGGGGTTCAAAATCCCTTGTGTGTGTGTGTGTGTTGAAGTCTTCATTTCTTTTCATTTTTTACCTGGTTGACATGTATTACACGAGTTGACACGACCCGTTTAATAAACGGGTTAAACAAGTCTTCATTTTTTTTTTCCCCTTTCCAAAATGGTTTGAGCAAGGATATGAAAATTATGATGGTTTGGACTAGAGTAGGGTTGTTAGAGGATGTGTTGTCTTAAAATGAAATGTATGTACTGCATATATACCGGTAGCTCCAAGTGATGATGTTCATAGTTTGATCATTGTTCATATGCCGTCACTGGTCCAAACAGAAAACACACTAAAGCCCAACCTGTGACTGCAAAAAAAGACATTAAATACACCCAAAATTAAAAAACCTAGGCCTTATTCCAATAGTATAGAACCCAAACATTTCTGGGTTGAAAACAATAAGGAGGGTGTATTCAATTGAGATTTTAATAGATTGTTTTGAAGCTTAAAAGTCTAGTGTTGACGCTAAAAAATGGTTCATTACTTTTTAGCCCAACTTAGAGATAGGGTGTGATGATGATGGGTGAAGGTGAGGACCTTCAGCTTTTTATGTGAGGATTTGACAAGCGATAAACATACAGAAGACAAGATATACGTGGTTCACCCTTAATGAATGGGCTACGTCCACGGAGGAGTATATTCTCATTATTATAGCAATGTGTATTTACATTTGTACAAGGAGCTGGGCCCAAATATAAAGAGAGAAAAGGAGAAGGCCCATGATTGATTATAAAGCCTAGCCCAAGGGGGATCCTCTCCTAAGTGGAGAGTGGTCTCCTTTTATAGGTGAGAGGGGGTCTTCACTTCTTGCAATATTTCAATGTGGGACTCTTTGCCTTGCTTAGAATTGCTTCTAGTTGCTTGGTGAAATATGGTATAAACAGAAGTCCCCCAAGTTCTTAATTAAGAAGGTACTTCTTAGTTGGGAACTTGTAACTTTTCAGTGCACTGATCAAGCAACATCTTAGTCTTCTTCCACGTTATGCGGTGAGAAGAGTGTCGAAAGTAATATGCTCGTGCCAAGCTGTAAGGTAGGCTACCACAAGTTTAGTGGGTGTTGGCCCACCGTTGCTGAAGATAAGGCCCATGCTCAACCCACGTGCCCTTTTTTATTTTGGAAAAAAAAAATGGATGGGGCCATTGTAATTCGGTGAGGCTTATGAAGCCCATAATTCTGGAGTGGGTGACGACTTTGACTATCGGCAGGGTCTTCAAAAATTTATGATGCGGCCCCTTATCTTGCTGTACGAAAATTGCTACCCTTGTTTTTGTCATGTTGTTCAGCAATGGGGCCTCGCCGCTCGGCATAGGCGGATTTGTGCCATCCTTTCTTTTGCTTTCTTACCGAACGGTAAGTAAATCGCAGATCCGACGTAGGTGATTTGGGGTCTCTTGCAAGCTCGGTCGTCGACTTCCCGTACGGTAGGATGACGGGTGTCAGAGAGCATGGTTCATGGTGGGGAAGACGACCAACTCCAGCAAGCCCCTGGATTGCCGACCGGCAATTATGACGAAACACCTGCAATTGCAAGAAGACATGGGTGTCTTGATAAAATTGGTGGTTGGGTGCCGAACGGCATTCTTGTGGAAGCGGTGGAGCTATGCTTTTGGCCTTTCACTCGATGAGTTGTGTACCGATGTCGTTTCCTCTTTTTCTCTTGTTACAGAATGACCAGTTCGGTGTTGTTCTTGAATTTAATGGCGTCGTCGTTTGGAAACGAATTGCCGTTTGCAGAGAACTTGCGGTGGTCTTGGCAAGGATGGTCTCTTCAGTGCTTTGGTGCTTTGAGGAGAAAGTTCTGTTAGAGCTTTCTGGAGCTCTCTTAGTGTGATGGACTAAGTGGGCGCTGTTCTCTAACCCATGAATAAGCAGCAACCACGGCTCTGGTGAAGCTTTTGCGCATAATGGCTGATGGTTATTAATAACATTGTATACCGCCAGATAATAAGAAAGTTTCGTGCTATATCCATCAAATAATAATAAAGAATAAGCAAATAGTCATGTTGCTTATCTTTTGCAGATTGTGCACGTGACTAGCCTTGGATTCTTTGATCTCAATGGTGGTCCACTCCTTCCATTATTAAAATGTAGCAAAAGATGAATATGCCATTTATTTGATGGAGGTGGGTCACGTGGTCATTCCAATACTAATATGGTGGCTTCCTCCTTTGACCATGCAAGCCATGCAAGCCATGCAACGCAAGGTGCCGAAGGCGCCGCTTACGTCGGAGAGGTGGGGTGCCGAAGGCGTCGCACACGTGGAATGGCGACGGGGTGCCGAAGGTATTGCTCGGGTCAAATGGTGATGACGGGGTGCCGAAGGCATTGCTTCCGCCTAATGATGACGGGGTGCCGAAGGCATCGCTCGCGTCGTATGATGGCGGGGTGCCAAAGGCATCGCTCGCGCCTAATGATGACGGGGTGCCGAAGGCAACGCTCTCGTCGTATGATGGCGGGATGCCGAAGGCATCTCTCGCGCCTAATGATGACGGGGTGCCGAAGGCAACGCTCGCGTCGTATGATGGCGGGATGCCGAAGGCATCGCTCGCGCCTAATGATGACGGGGTGCCGAAGGCAACGCTCGCGTCGTATGATGGCGGGATGCCGAAGGCATCTCTCACGCCTAATGATGACGGGGTGCCGAAGGCAACGCTCGCGCCGTATGATGGCGGGGTGCCGAAGGCAACGCTCACGCCTAATGATGACGGGGTGCCGAAGGCAACGCTCTCGTCGTATGATGGCGAGATGCCGAAGGCATCTCTCGCGCCTAATGATGACGGGGTGCCGAAGGCAATGCTCGCGTCGTATGATGGCGGGATGCCGAAGGCATCGCTCGCGCCTAATGATGACGGGGTGCCAAAGGCAACGCTCGCGTCGTATCGGCAACGCTCTCGT